TGATTGTTCTACGCGCGGGGATCCTGGGGCGTACAGGTTTGCGAGAGCTTCTTCGGTTACTACTTCCGTCAGAGGAGTATAGGATTGGAAGCAGAGTGTGAGCTTGGTGAAGGCGTCGGTTAGGGGTGCTGATGATTCCATTGCGCTGTTGCCGCTTTGGGATGTAATGGAATGAAACTGGATTCCACTCATCAGTATCAGAAGGAGATCACGGAATCTTTCAAAGTTTGCAGAACTGCTATCGATCTTTGATGTGGGCCGCCACAGCGGCCTTGGTCATCTCGACGCCGACGGCACGGTCCTTCAATAACACTTTCTCCTTATACTCGAGATTGTAGTACACAGTTTGGAGGAGCACGTGTCTTTCCAGCCGTACGCACATACAGGTACCCTTTTCTATACCAGGTTAGTGTCTACGGTGTTACCCCTAATCCGACAAGCAAGGATAGGAGAAAGGGACAAGCTCGCTCTGGTTCCAGACGCCTAGAGATTGTAACAACTCCCAGGGAGGTATAGAAGCCGTGACACCGACCTCTTCTGCAGTTCATGCGATGGTCACAGCCCCCACCCCCCGCCGGCATGCGGGTGCCCGGATAGCACCCGAGTAGCTCGAAGATGCGGAGGCCGATGATGGCGCCGACTTGGGGTGCGATAAGAAGTATGCTTCGAGGACGGTGTAGTCCATACCGTTGAACTTTTATATCATGCTTGATAGGATGAGACCAGTTATGCTGCCGACGAGGATGATATTGCTGAGGCCTATTGTGAAGGGGGCGTGTGGGTGATCGAGGGGTCGGGATAGTTAACGGCATTACTGCTGGAGTATCGAGACGTCTGCTAAAGATTAGAACCTTTTCATGGAAATAAATGAAGATCATGGAGTTTGCTTGAGTCTCGTGAGTTGACAAAGTATTCTGCTGCGGTTAACTTATGTTATGGCGGAGCTCGGATCTTTCCCGATAGCAGATCTGATTCCCAACATGGCCACAGCCTATATTCCATATAAGCGGCATGGGAAAAGTGGTTTTCACGACTAGTGACACAAAGTCTTGCAGCAAAAACTTCAAGGGTGACGCGTGGACCTGAGGATGAGGCCCTTTTGACTTAGTTTCCCCTGGATACCGTGCTTGTGCGACGATCCACAGGTCGACTGTACGAGAGATTGACTGTGAAGCACGAGAGTGATCAAGTACGCTTGTAATCATGAGAACTTATATCTTTGGGCGTTCACCAACATGTCAGCATAAGGTATCTGTACATAGATACTGTGGCTACGATGTCTTCGCAATGAGAGGGTATTGACGGAGCGGACTTAGACAAGGGGTAAATGGGCAGCGCGTTGAGATCTCCATGATGATAGCGTCGAAGTGAGGACCTTCATTCTGGTATATCTTCCGTAGAAAAGGCAGTTTGCGACCTTCTGCATGCGATATCTGCGCTGCAATCCAGCTTTCGACCGTCTCCATAGATCAGCTACCGGGAGCCAGAGTCGATTCTCCACTGCAAGCCGTGGTGGCTGAGTCTGGGGCACCTCGTTTCACGGACATGCGAAGCCCAGAACAATTCCCAAAGGGTTTGTGCAATAATAACAGACCGAAGTATTTCGTCCTTCGCTATATCTAGATATATATCTTGCTCCAAGACTGAACTAGGGTTCCTGCGAATCACCTAAAACAGACAATAATGGGGCGCTTGACTTTTGTCAGCGCATTGAGCACTCCGATTCTCGCTATAATCCTAGGCGATTCAGACGCCCTGTCCGCGCTACCAGCATGCAAAATTGGGTGAAGTCAATAGGTTTAACAGCAAAGAAAGAAGCAAGTTTCCGGAGAACATTCTTCTTAGAGCTTCGATGAGATAAATTGTGTCGGTGCCGCATTCCTGCACAATATCAGGGTCTGATCGCCCCGACTCACAGTGACCTTGACATCCAGACACCCAGACACCCTACCTCGCAACCATGGCCGGGAATAGGACTATGGGGCGGCAAGCTCGACAACATGTTTATCGCCGTTCAGAGAGTGAATGAGTGTGTTTTTAAATCGTTTTCGAAGCACTCCTCAGACTAACTAATACAACTCCGCCAGCACAGCATTTGGACCCGCCCATGCAAAGTAGAGCAGCCTTATCAACGCCTAATTTTCAGGCTACCTAATATGCAGTGATCGATTCGCATAGAGCATCTCAATTCCCCGGCGAAGGATTACTCCCTACGTCCCACATTTGCTGTTCGCTGGCGACAATGTATCTCGCCACCTCGTAAATATTCCAATACACTTCAGCTTCAGGGTGGATAAGCTTTATGGCGCATGTCAAGTCCCCATCTCCTAACGCCAGAAGCACTTCCAGTGGGAGGTCGCAGTGGTAGTCCCACCCAACCACAACCTTGTTTCCTAGACGGCTGAGGGCAAGTTGATCAGTCCGCACGGCGGCACGAAGACGTGCAGTCACCACTAAATCCACGTCCCAGGGTATTGTACTACATAGCCAAGATACATAGGCGGCTGTTAATGTTTCCATGTCAGCCTTGAAGTTGTGACATGTCGATTTTGGTAATTCGGGCCAGTGGGACACAAAGACTGGCGGCATCCACCTACAGCGGTCCCAGCAGACTGCCCATTTTCGTCTGTCTCTTGCTTCTCATCGTGCTGCTAGTACGCCTTCTTCATCAGCAACGTTAGTCTCAAAACACACAACTAGCACGGCTGTAAACGCATCTCATATTATCAGCATCATTTACAACTTTTAATCTTGCAAAGTGCGTTTCCCGATCATTATCTCAAGACAGTGTCATGATGACCTTGTCAGAAGCGGCATGGATCGATCATGATGAGGTCAAGCTGTATCAGCGGTGCGGGTATTATCTGCTAACTGTGACCCTGCAGACTTTTGGGAAATGTTTGAGAATCTTCGTTGAGACAACACGATATCCAGGAAGGATGGCCAATGTTGCGTACCAATCGTCGGGATCTGAGGTCTCACAAGTCGAGAACGATGTCGCTCAGACTCTCAATCTTGCCGGCTCGATAGTAACCATCATCCGGGAACCCATAGCACACATCTACGAAACCAATAACAAAGCCCAGAAAATCAGGAAAAGCCTCGGTATCTGGCAAGAACAAATATTTGGCAAGAACAAATACTAGACGAGAACAGCCAGCCTCGGATCCCCGTGCTTCGTCACCAAGAGTTCGAGAATTATCTTGTGGAAATCGACGGAGTTATTCCTGCTTTCCAAGTAGAAAACCACAAGCAAGATTCCGACAGAAGCCGGGGCTACCGACTATCCTGGCCTGGTTGGGGGACGCAAAACGCAAACTCCAGTCGGATGCCGACAATGCCCCCAGCTGGAACATCTTGTTGGGGCTATTTCCTCTTTGCCCTGGGTATCCACCCCGAGATGGGAATGGTCAGCAGGAGACCTTCGACCGACGGCTTGATTAGCACCCAGAACGGTGGCGCTGAGATGGACATCGATGGCTCTGTATTGTGCCATGTAATGAACTTATATTCTGCGAAAGCTTTTGATCGCAATTACAAAGGATGGTGCGAGCTGAGCTTTGGAAGACTCGGCTGGGATATGGCAATTGACCAGCGCCAAGTTCATGCACACTTCAGCCCGGGAACTGAGACTGGATTAGCCTCAGAAAAATGCCCATTCAGTCGACACGGAACTTCTATGGATGTCGGTACTATTATGGCGTCGTATCTCATAGCATTGCATGACGGTGTGTCAGACCAGCGATTTCAACTCGCTGCCCCACAAGCTTCACTATCAGAGCGAATCGAACGGCTTCTGGAATGCTTCCGTTTGCTGGGAGACCGGTCCGAGGGAAGGCGGGAAAGACGGTCTCACCGCAACCGATCCGATCATCAGGATGTCGATGGTGTCTTTATGTTCTCACATGAGTGGTTTGATCAAGCCGCAAGTGTTAAACGACGACTTCTAGCCCAAGGTGGTGACGACCGCTCTTTCTTCGATGATGTGTATGGGCTTTGTTCAGGCGAGCAAGATAAGAAAGACCTCTCAGAGTTTTTCTCTTTTGGCAAAGAGGGATTTGACTTCAACAAGGACAGCATTTACCGGCGCAGCTTTTTCCCAAGGCTCTCTGAGGACACCGTCATGCAGGTCCTGTTGAGCTACGAGACCTGCCCGGCTGGATCGTGGAAACGCGACCTGTTTGAAAGAAGAGAAGACGTAGTGAGAGTGGTAGAGATTCCAAAGAGCATTTCCCTTCTGGATTATGCTCCAATGACAATTTTGTGGTACACCCCTAATTCTGATATGTGGAATAAGACAGTGCTTTTGGGCGCGCCCACTTCCGCATCGTGCGAGGGGGTTCTCAGACGATCTAGAAATCAATAAGGCTTTACGGAATTCCAAAACACATGAAAGAGTGATGTCTTTACCCGCATGAAGGCACTTCAACTGCAATTGCTGATGTAGCTCCCAGCTCCCGTCAAAATATCAAGATAATGCTTAAATAATTGTCTAAGGCAACCACCACTTGAGGAGATTACAGCCACATGTAGTCACTGACAGCATTACACGAAAATGGCGACTGAATATCTCGCAAAGCTTAAAGTCTCGATGGCTATTGTAAAACATACTCTTCTTGCACAGTGTATTTCCTGTCGCTTCAGTCACCTCTACGTAGTTACTCCGCGACTCCTATTCAGATAGGTGAACGGAAACCTTGAATCTAGGAGACTTCCTTAAATCTGAATGGATAACTTTACTATGAGCGGATTTACGGGACATTGAGGTTGCCGGAAGCACTATATTGGCTTTGGGATGCTCAGACAGGGTCAGCAAAGTCTGTTCTTCCCAATGGTGCAAACGCCATGCTTCTAGTGCGGGGCAGCCGAAAGTCTGAGAACACCCCGCCTGTCCATCGGCACGTCCTGACGCGTCTTCCTCCGTATACCTCAAACTTCTTTCCCTCAACTAAATGGACGCCGATGCCGAATTACGCGCCTTCGCGGGCCGACTTTGAGGAGAACGGAGTTCAGGCTTCGAATTGAAAGAACAGGAACGGGTAGCGATTATTGTCCTTGTACTAGGCGGCCGAAGCTATCGCAATGTCGCAGCGATTTTCGGCTGCTCACTCGGCGCGGTCGCATCCACAATTCGACGATACAATAAAGATCATACTTTCAAGGTAGCACCCAGGGTAGGCAGGCCAAAGAAAGTCATAGCCGACACGTAAGTGAAAGTCCTGTCTGACATCCAATCTGGTACTGTTTCTTAACATCAAAATAGACAATCAACAGCATTGTAACTTGAGTGTGGGTGACGGTTGGGCCTGCTCGTCCGCTTGTCGCAACTATTTCGCTGGCAACTCACACCATGTCTCTGCACTGGCTTCTAACCACTCTTTGAGGCCTTCCGTTGAGACTGAGTTCACGGGAAACTCGTTACCCAGCCGAGTTCATTGGATGTAGAACCTGCAATCTCTGGTCTTCTCGAAGACATCACTTGTCGCTCAAACACCATTCATGGGAATGCTTTTCTCTCATTAATCGGTAATCTCGTGGAGTTCTTCTACCAACACTCTTTACTCATCCGCATCACTGCCCAAATCCTCCGCAAAGAACTCCTCGGCGGCCTGCTCGCCTCTCTTCGCGACAACTTCCACGGGCTCCTCCTCATCCTCAGGCTCAGTGGAAACGCGCCTCTCAAGATCGCCTGCCTCCTCCAGATCGGCCGCTACCAGGTCCGCGTTGGAGAGCTCTTGTCTCTTGATGACAATATCGGGCAAGTCGGCAACCGCCGCCCGGGCGAGAACGGGAGCCTGTGAGATTCGGTGTTAGCTGCACGGCTCATATATAAGAGAGAACTGCAGGAGACAATGATGCGCAGCGTGGAGTGCGGGAAGCATTTTGGGACTACTTACCATGGTGAGGGCTACGCCGGAGAGGCTGAGTCCGAGAGAGTTCACACCAGTAACGGCAACCAGGCCGACAGCGAAGAATGATTGAAGCTGCATCTTTTAATCGAAATGTAGATAGTGGTATTATAAGTTGATGATAATATTAACTGGATTGAATAGAAGGAGACCTGCGAGAGAAATTTGGGGCACAAAGACTATGGAAGACGCATGAACTTTGACCTGCCTATATACCATTCACAGATCTGGGAGGGTTTTGGCAGATCGCCCACATGCCGTTCAAGCGAGCATCTGAAGTTTTGCCAGATGACGAATTCGACACTGTTGGGAAACCAGCGTCAGTGTCAAAAGTATAACCGCAACAGTCCGTTTCACATGTTTTGACCAACCCCCCAAAAGAACAGGCCTAAGGCGCTGCAGCCCTGGCGAAGGTCAAGGCATACAAGGTCCTAGTGCACAACTGCACCGCTGCGCAAGACGGGCAACGCGGCCAAAAACTCTGACTGCCCACGTCGCGGTGCTCTCGACCTGTCAGATCTTCGTCTCATGGATGGTGAGCGACCATCTACAGAACTCTCAAACCCACTGACATCCTTCAGAATTCGCTCGCTGTTCGGACGGGGGTCACTGAAGCTACGCGGGCCCTGTCAATCCTCCCCTCCCCCTCATGTCTACACCTCAGTAACCCCCCGGGCCCCTCGTGGCCCCCTAAAGAGACCAGAGGGCAGAGGTGGGATGAGACCAGAGATTCTATGATGAGAGGGGCTCCTTGGGGGCCAACTACACTGTACATGGGCAGCTGTGGTGAAACAAGACAGGTTTCTGACGGAACTCTCGTGGTGCGACGTTTGTGTGAGGGTGCCAAGCCTGGGTTGCGCTGTTGCACGACTCTCTCTCCAGGGATCCACTTTCGCCCTCGCCGTATCCGTAATCGTCAGATCGAATGAGGGAATTTGGGGGTAACAGTTGCCGTTTGCCGATTGAAGGTCGGCATATCGGCATGGTTGAAATGCGTTGAACGACCTCTGTTAGTCGGCAATGGAGTGTTGTCCAAGGGGACTGTCACTGAATTAGTCACAAGAGTACCATCTTTGAAAATGGCCCAACTATTGTCGTCCGAGGTAGTAAAAATGTTCTATACATCAATCAGATATCATGACACAAGGCAATGCAGTATGTGGAAAGTGCCTCAATCGTGAATTTGTGTTCATGAGTTCATAATAGTTCTTTTGATCATCCCAAGAGGCCCAACGCTTAGCAAATGCATGGGATGATAGCGCTACTCTAAACTCGTCTAAGCCATCAAGGTTCTCTCTTAGCTGCTATAAGATGAAGATTCTAGTACAACTCCATCTTTTCTAAATTTTCAAGATGAATCAATCCATTGGCAGGCTGTTAATTCGTCAGTATTGGATCAACAATGCTAAGCATCACTCAAAGAAACTTACCGGAATGTATTGCCTCAGCTTGACACCCGCTTGCCGGAACACCGCTGCCGTCTCCGTATCCATGCTGTATCCATGAGCATACACTACCTCGTCGATACCGACCTGGCAGATCTTGATGCTACACGTCAAGCAAGGGCAGGTATCGCAGTACAGCACGGCGCCCTCGCGGATACGCTCACGGCCGGCCTCCAGCAGGGCATTTTCCTCAGCGTGGATACACAGGCACGTAGCCAGGCCGACGCCAGACGAGTTGCCCGAGTTGCAGCGGGAGCAGCCGCCGTCGGAGCAGTTCTGCAGGCCGCGGGGCGTGCCGTTGTAGCCGGTGGAGATGACGCGTTTCTCGCGCCCGACGAGGACGGCCCCGACGCGGCGCTTCATGCAGTTCGAGCGCAGAGAGGCGAGCTCGGCCAGGGACATGAAGTAGGCGTCCCAAGTGGGCCGGAGGCGGACCGGGTTGGCGAGGTCGAGCTTGCCGAGCGTGGCGTAGAGGTGCGCGATGGAAGAGGAGGTGTTGAGGAGGCGGACGGTCGCGCGGGAGATGAGCGGTTGCAGGCCCTGTTTTGGGTCGTAGAGGTGGGTGTCTGAGGCGAGGGCGAAGGACTCGAGGGTGCAGTGGGGGTTGTGAAGGGCGCGGAAGCGAGCGTGGCGGACTGTCAAGGGAGCGTCGACGGAGATGAGCATGAAGAAGGGGCGTCTGGAGAGGACGTCGAGGATGGCTTCGTTGTGGACGTCTGTGGTGACGAAGCGTGATTGCCAGCGGGTGGTGACGTATTCCAGCAGGTCGTCGGCGGAAGAGAAGACGAGCTCGTTGGGGTAGTGAGAATGTACGCCGTTGGTACGCGGTTGTCCGCTCAAGATAGTCAGGGGAGCGGGAGAGAATGCAGGTTTCTGCTGCTGTTGTTTCGGCTCTCTGTCGGCGTTGCTGCTGATAGCCACGGCGGTATCTATGCTCCCTTCAGGGGCCCATTGAGGGTGAGGGCATTCAGCCTTGGTATGGCCTTTCTCGTTGCAGTTGAAGCATGAGCCCGGTGCCCCTCCCTTGTTCTTCTTCTTCTTGTTCTTGGAAGAAGGCTGCAGTTGTGAACCGGGAGCATTGTTGCCGTTGGTGAACTGAGAGTCAGCTCGCTCCGGCTCTGGCCGAGACTCCGGCGCCGGGACAGGTTTGGAGACCGGAGCCTCATCCCGAGGTGGAGTTGCGGCAGGGTCCGTCAAGCGGAGCAATCTGAAGCCATGATGCTCGATCAGGTATTGAGCAACGCTCTTCTTGCCGGCACAAATGCCTTACACTTGTCAGAACGATGTCTGTAGTCGTTGAAGCGGATTGAGTTTGACTTAGGGGTTGGTCGACTTACCACCACAGATCCCAATAAGCATCTTGGCCAAGGTACCGTGCTAGACGAGATTTGGTTGTAAGAGTAAGTACCTTAATTGGAAAACCGGCAAAACTGATTGAGTCTGCACTTATCCGTCGATCGTCAACCTCCGATGTGCAGCTCTGCCGGTTGCGCAAACTCCTCAAAATCTACCCGGCAACAAGTGTCCAATGGAAAAGTCGCGATCTGAATTCTTCGCATGAACGCGTCTCCACGCGTAAAGCCGTTTTTGCAGCTCGGGCCCGATCAATTGGGTGTCCCCGCGCCGGTCGGGTTGAATTACTCCGATATTTAGCCGGCGGGACCTGCAGAGGATGACACAATCATCTCCCATGGCATCGAGCGAGCTCCCGTCCCCCACCTTTTGTCGTCTAGCTGAGGTGGGCAGCCTGGCGGGGGAGAAGCTACCCGAACGGGCACCTGCCCAAGTTGTTTGCCCTATCATGCCTCGTCTGTCAGACAACCATCTCACCCCCAAAGGCCCCAAAGGAAGCTCTCACCAGCCTTGTTCTTGTGACTTCCTGACTCCGACAAGCCACCGCTTGACCGCCTGTTCTCGTGACTCTTTCCAACTTGTTATTTCCAAGCGTCCCTCAGGCACAGCGACACCGCCCAGACCCCTCCGCTTTGTCCGGAGACCGTTCGGAACTGTGACCTGCCTGTTCCGTCAAATTATACCTAAGCTCTCGACGCTTTTGAGTCATTTCGACCCAAACCACGACCTGCTTTTGATTTGTGCTCCTACATACCCAAATCACCGGAGCATACCCAACATTTGCGACATCCCTCTGGTGTCAATATCGTAGCACAGTCCGAATACCGAGTTCCGGCGCAAACCATCGCGAAGACTGCCCTCATTTTCCCAACCAAGCGCCAAAAAGTGCGCGCCCACCACAGCTCGCCCACCATGGCAGCAATCCAATACGCGCCCTTCTCCTCTGAGATCGAGCTGCCTTTCTACGCGGCCCTCTTCTCCTCAAAGCTTGAACATGATAAGCTAGACGACTCGGCGCGCCGCGTGCTTGGCCAGTACAGTACCCTGCCTGTCGAGCCAGGCCAGAGTTGCAAGATGTCCATCCTCGGGAATGCTCTCACTAGCGACCAGTAAGGCGCTCTCGCAGAGCTTTATATCTGCTTCACGTAGACCGGTGTGGGACTGACGAGGAGAACAGGCCCAACGATGAGCACGTCCGCGCCGAGGGCTTCATCAAGAACGTCAATACGATTGAGGACTTCAAGAATACGGACAAACAAGCCATGCTTAAAATGGCGGCGAGACATGTAAGCCTTGAGTCGTAGTTGCGTGAGTACTGAAGCGAGCTCTGACGATCATCTTTCCAGGTGTGGGACGCCATAAACGACGGCACCATCTACTCCGTACCCTCCCTCCTCTCCTCCTTCACGATCCTCTCATACGCCGACTTGAAGAAATACAAGTTCACATACTGGTTCGCGTTCCCAGCGCTGCACTCAGACCCTCAGTGGAAGCGTACGGGACCTATCGGTCGCCTTGATCCTAAAGAGAGCACGGCGCTAGTCGATCGAGTGGGCACGTGGCAAGCCAACCGCGACAAGAGGCAGAATGGGTTCTTCCTCGCCAAGAAGGCAAGAGGGGTGGATGTTAGCGATCTGGATAAGGACGCGAATAGCGACCTTCACGACCTCAACGATACGTTTGGCTATGTGTGGGAAGTTGCCAACCTTGGAGAGTTCGAAAACGGTTTCTTCGAAGACGTGGCAGAGGAGGACAGATACGTTTCATTTGTTGACCCTTCGACGTACCCCGAAAACCCTTCATGGCCACTGCGCAACCTGCTCTGGCTCGTTCGGCAGCGGTTCAGGCAGACAAAAGTTCAGATTCTGTGTTACCGCGATATCAGATCCAGCAGGCATGCGGCTAGAAGCATCATTTTGCCGCTGGAGATGGACCCGGTTGAGCCACTTGCGGTGGCTGCAATGCCCAAGGTCACAGGTTGGGAGCGAGACGGAGAGGGCAAGCTACGAGCTAGGATCGCCAACCTGGGGGAGTACATGGACCCAACACGACTTGCCGACCAGTCCGTGGACCTGAACCTCAAACTCATGAAATGGAGGATTTCGCCAAACCTGGACCTGGATACTATCAAATCCACCAAGTGTCTGTTGTTAGGAGCGGGCACACTGGGAAGCTACGTTTCCAGAAACCTAATGGGCTGGGGTGTACGGAAGATCACGTTTGTGGACTACGGACGCGTATCGTATTCGAACCCTGTACGGCAACCTCTGTTCGAGTTTGAGGACTGCTTGGAAGGCGGCAAATTCAAGGCGACCCGGGCGGCAGATGCCCTCAAGAGGATCTATCCCGGTGTTGAGAGCGAGGGTCACGTCCTATCTGTTCCTATGTTAGGCCACCCTTTTACGGATGAGGCTAGGAGTAAGGCGGACTACGACAAGCTGAAGCAGCTGATTGACGAGCACGATGCAATCTTCCTGCTGATGGATAGCCGAGAGTCAAGATGGCTACCGAGTGTTCTGGGCAAATCAACTGGCAAGATTGTTCTCAACGCCGCGCTTGGTTTCGACTCCTTTGTCGTCATGAGGCACGGCGCTGAACCAACCGACGTTCAGCCAGATGACAAGGAGCGTAAGACCCTGGGATGTTATTTCTGCAACGATGTAGTCACGCCAGCTGACGTAAGTAAATGTCACCTCCTAGATCGGCTTTCCACTGACAACTTGCAGTCGCAGAAAGACCAGACCCTGGACCAACAATGTACCGTAACCAGACCTGGTGTCGCAGCGATCGCGTCAGCGCTGCTCGTTGAACTATTCGCGAGTCTGCTCCAGCATCCCCTCAAACAACACGCACCGGCACCTCAAACGTCGGCAGACGAGAAGGACCCCGTAGACCATGCCCTAGGACTTGTGCCTCATACCGTCCGCGGCTACCTGCATAACTTCAACAATAAGGTCATTCGCGGCGAGTCATACCCATGCTGCAGTGCGTGTGGCCCACCGATTCTCGAGGCCTACCGAAACGACGGCTGGGGTTTTGTCAAGAAGGCGCTTTTGGAGAAGGACTTTGTTGCTGAGTTATCTGGGCTCGCCGAGGTTCAGCGGGAGGCTGAGAGGCGAGCGGCGTCTATGGACTGGGAAGAGGAGGAAGATGGAGCAGATGATGGGGATGGAGAGTTGATTTGAGAAACTCAGGCTCTCGGGCAATATACGAATTATGGACGAATTTTACAGTGAGCTTTCACGGCGGGATAGACGAGGCGTTCGGATCCGGGATAGGATACTGTTGGCGTTTGGCATTGATAGAGTCCCTGTTGAGACTTTCTTTCCCGAGGATTCCAACTCCTAGTTTAGCCAGATGGGCGGAACATCGGTTCTAGCTTATGGATGAATGTGTTTTGAGCAGCTGATAGACGGTACTTCAGTCCACTCATCCCACGGTGATTTCTCATCCATCGACATTTGCCCATGTCCACGGCAGAGCTCACAGCTCACAGCTCTATCCGTACGAACCTGCGCATAAGGATTGTGCAAACTTCGGGTTTTAATGCGAGAGGTGTGCAGATGACAGGGTTCCCCACACTAGCTGACCTTCTGCTTCCCGCCCGTGACCGAGAATGCAACCGTTCAATGACCCCCTAATCCTCAAAGTCCCATGTTAGACTAACGCATTGATGCGGCCGATACCGCTGACTCTGTTAACAACCTCGAACCTTCCAGGTACCAGCAACCTCCCCCGGCTGATTTTCCACAGCAGCCGCAGCTTCCCCCTGACAGCACGCCCAGGTTCCCGAAGGCGCTATGAACTACCTGGCGTGGCGGAGGATTACCTAAGTGCGCTAAAGCACGGGGTGTGCATTTCTTTTAGTCAGGTGTGCCAGGAGGTAAGACAGAGCAGCCGACCATTCCAGGTTAGAGGTAACACTGTGTTCCGTCCGTATTCATCTCATCATCGGCCGCTGTTGTGCTTCTTTTTGATATTGTACCATCATCTGTGTTTCATGCCTCTTTTCATCCGTGTTTGCTAACCCATCTTTGTTCTTATTCCATCGGAAGATGTAGAAAAGCGGTCGAGAGCCTGGATTACGCCACGTATCGAATGCTTTGAGACTGTGTTTGGGGAGCGTGGGACGATTCCGGTGATTTGAGGTTCGAGGAACAGAAAGACGACGACCAGCGGCGGTTTCATCGAGAACCTCGATTCTGAATCAGAGAATCATCGCCATCGCGTGTTACAGAGGTTGAGTTTGTGTTTTGATCACTACGGACGCGCAAATACCATCTCTGTGGCTCTGCACTCGCTGCCAAAGACGCTCATATCCGCGGATATGCTGCGCTCCATCATCCGGCGCCTGGCGTCGGACCAGCCCGAGTCCGTCAACGACTACATTGGCGTCGTGGTGCCGCTCGAAGAAGCTCACCTACATAGCCACTCGGCAAGGACGGGCAAATGCGAATTCGAGGAGCGTCCGAGTGAGGACGAGGACGAGGACGCAGAGGATGACGGCAAGGACCAGAGTGAGAGTGCGGGGATGCTGGAGATGAGCGCTGCTGAGTATACCATTGAGGGTCTCAGAAAAGAGGTTCGGAGAGGTGGGCAAGGGCGATGGACCGAGTACGAGTGTGAGTTTATCATCTTCGAAGCATTAAGGAATCTGATGGGTCGATTATATGTGTGCTGATATAGGGGACAGTGAAATCGAAGCTCATCAACAAGGCGATTCAGGATATTGGCATGGGGCGGTATAACTGGCAGCTCTTTGTCCTTTGTGGATTTGGCTGGTTCGCGGATAAGTGAGTCTCTCTGTCACCACATGATGAGAACAATGCTGACCGGTTTACTAGTTTGTGGATGCACGTAGGTTCAGCTTCAACCTGGTTTTTAAATCAGCAGCCACGGAGTCTTTGAAGGTACTAACAACAGCTCCAGGGTGTTGCGCTCACACTTCCTTCTCTGTCCGCGGAATTCGGCATCTCAGAACAGCGTGTACGCTACACGACGTCGTCCATTTTCCTCGGTCTCTGCTTCGGTTCCTTCATCTGGGGCATCGGCTCCGATGTCCTCGGTCGTCGCATCGCCTTCAACCTCACTCTGCTCATCACCGGTGTCTTTGGCATTTTGTTGGCTTTCGCGCCGACATGGGGCTGGGTGAACTTCCTCTTCGCCGCCCTCGGTTTCGGCGTAGGCGGGAATCTGCCGGTGGATGGCGCGCTGTTCCTTGAGTTCTTGCCGGACGCGTCGAGCAGTCTGTTGACGTTGCTATCGGTGTGGTGGCCGGTTGGGCAGCTGTCTTCGTCGCTGGCGGCGTGGTATTTCATTGCCAACTGGCCTCCTGAACAGGGATGGCGAAGGTTCGTTTTGACCATTGGGCTGATTACATTCATCATGTTTGTTGTGCGGTTTTTCGTCTTCCGTCTCTTTGAGTCTCCAAAGTTCTTGCTCTCGAAAGGGCGCCAGTCCGAAGCTATCGCCGTCGTGCATGGTATCGCCTCTCGCAACGGCGCAAAGACTTGGTTGACCGAGGAGGTCCTGGACGCAGTAGTCGATGGTGTGGCAGACGAGGATGAGGAGCATTCAAGAGGTGGCCGCTCGGGAGTATTCCGAGGCTCGGGCGTCGCCGCAAATGTCCTCCGCGAGAGAATGAAGGCGTTTTCCGCAGACCGACTTCGACCACTCTTCAAGACTCGGACTCTCGGCCTTGCCACTGTGGTAGTCTGGTTTGTTTGGGCGACGATTGGCATGGGCTATCCCCTCTTCAACGCCTTCCTTCCGCAGTACCTCTCCCATGGCGGTGCCGCCCCTCCGTCCGAGGATTCCCCAGATGCAGGAGCGACACCAATCACGCCAGACACGTATCGAACATACGCAATTACCTCCGCCGTCGGCGTCCCAGGCAGCCTGTTGGCAGCCTACCTAGTCGACCAGAAGTCCCCCTGGCTCGGGCGCCGGGGCACGCTCGCCTGCTCGTCCTTTGTCTCAGCCGTCTTCCTCTTCATGTTTGTCAAATTCGGTACCTCGCCCGCCTCGCAGCTCTTCTTCTCCTGCGTCGAGGCCTTCTCCCAGAATATCATGTACGGCGTGCTCTACGCCTTCACGCCGGAGATCTTCCCCGCGCCGGTGCGTGGGGCCGGAACGGGCGTGGCGAGCTTCTTGAACAGGGCCATGGGGCTTTTGGCGCCGTTGTTGGCGGCGAATATGCCCGGGGATGGGGTCACGACGCCGATTTATCTGTCTGGGGCGTTGATTTTGGCGGCGTTTGTTGGGATGTGTCTGATTCCTATCGAGACGAGGGGTCGTCAGAGGTTGTGATTGTTGAGCTGTCTGGTTGTACGGATAAAGGAGGTGTGGAAGTTCCCTGATATACAAAATTTCTTACAAACAGGCTCTGAAAACCGTCGGTTGAACAACGAGTGCCTCGGTCTAATATTGTTCTACGTGATCTACATCAATACCTTCGCAAAAGCATCCCCTAGCCCACGTTCCACCAACCACCCTTCCACAGCCTTCATATCGCCCCTGTTCGCCCTTTGTCCTCTCCTCTCGCCCACAGAATCCGTAATCTCAGACATATCTGCAAAGACTCTCTTCGAAATATCCTTTTCGCGATGCCTCTCGCTGACCTTTTTGTGATGCGCAGGGATATCGCCCCAGCTCTCCGTCTTGATGAACTTCATGTAGTTGTCGATACTCTGCGACCCGCCCTCCAGACACAGCAATCCCGGTTTCCCGGCATAGAGGAAGCCCGTGAGGTGGTACGCGGGCGCATTGATAATGAAGTCGTCGCGCTTGGAGCGGGTTGAGATGGAGGGGAAGTAGAACCAGACCCGCACCATGGGACCTGCGTCGGCTATAGCAGCAGCGTTTGAGACTGCCGATTCGGCTTCTGCTGCTGTTTTTGCTTCTTCGAGGTGAGCGACGGCTGTTTCGTTTATTGCGTCTATGATGCTGAAGAGGTCATCGCCGCCGTCTGGGATTTGGGCGTTGAGGTGGGCGGTTGCTGCGCGGTTGAGCCATGCTGGTTGGAGGATTCGGACTCTTATACGGGGAGCTTCTTCTGGTGTTTCGTCGGCTTCGTATAAGAAGGGTACGTTGATGTCTAGTTGCAGGGTTTTTGGTGATGAGGGGTCTTGGTCCGGTTCCGGGACGGTGAGGGTGAGTAATATGCTCACTGTTGGTGCACGGCTCAGTGACAAATTTTTGCTGTCGTTGCCTTCTTCGACATGTGATTTGAGGAGCTGTAGAAGTCGTTCGGATTCCTTGTTGATTGAGACCTCATCTTCTGTGGGGTACATTGCTGTGAGGAGGTCGATTTGGCCGATTTGGTGTTCGATTAGGTTGGGTGGTAAGAGGTGCCATGATGATGTGGCTGCCATCTTGAATCAGTTGCATTAACCTGACCCTTTCTTATTAGAAGCCTTGAATACCAATCCTAGTATTTTTCGTTTGCGTGTTCCCTTCTTAGCGCTGGTCAAATTGTCATGACTTGGTGAGTGAAGGTCCATTCTGAGATATTTTCGAACCTCATTTAAGCCACATTCTTCAGCCACATGCGCCACACTTTGGATGTTCTCCAGATGCTGGGCACTTTTATGAGTTATATGGTTGATCGATTGGCTGCTCAGCTGGCTATCAGGTTATGAAAACAAAGTCCCAGGTCACTGGGATTGTTGATTTCATATATTGTAGAGGCTACGACTGCGTGTGTTCCAGTATCGTAAGGGGCACACAAAACAGCGATAGCAAAAGACCTGTAGCAAGATTTTATGAGGGGACCAATAATTTCATCTTCGGAAAGGTTTAAACGGTGTGTCATTCGCCGAATGCTGAATTTCTACAAAAAAAGCACAAGCGCGTCTATGGTCTGCTCTATCTGTTACCCTTTGCGCCAGCTGGTGCATCAACCCTGCGTTTCTGGAACTGCTTGCCAATCGCGTCTCTGACCATTGGGTCCGCTCTGATGGTGTTCTGAACCAACCAATCCTTGACCTTGGCACGCACGCTGCTGAGCGCCTCCTTATCGCCAATGAACGGGGTCATCTCCATTTCCAACAATCTGCTCGTCTCGCCGTCCAGACCGCGGGCAATCATCTCGAGCCGTTGCAAGCCCTCGTCGACAGCAGCCGCCGAGCTCTCGGCCGCTTTCTGCGCCGCCTGGCCGTGAGAGTTCAACAGAGGACCGAGCTGACCGAAAGCTATGTAGATCGTGACGGCGGCCTGACGAGCGAGCGAGACAAGCTGAAACTGGAGATAGGGTGGGCGGCGCAGGGCTGTGCTCAGCACTGTGTTGAAGATGGCCAGGAACGGCGGCATCTCAGGCCGAGTAATAACAATGAGCTCCGCGACGAAGAAGGTGAGAAGGATAATCCACCGCCAGTATCGTCCCCAGTCGAGGTACCCCAGCAGACTCAAGCCGTAGGTAGCAGCCGCCGCGATGCCATAGTACGGAATCGTTCCCTGCATGATGCCGCGCGCGACAAAATCATGAATGGTCTTGCAGCCCTGCCAGGCGCCGACCTCGGGACCGAAACGCTCGTAAGCGAAGCGACGTGCTGGGTCGGAGAGGGTCTCTGAGGCCGTCTTGAGGTGCATGAAGCGCGCGGCGGCGGCGCCGGTGTCGGCGCCATTGGTGCCTGCCTTGTCTGGATGGTAGACGGCCGCGAGTCGGCGGAAGCGGGACTTGATGATGCGAACGGGGGCACTGGCGGCGACGTCGAGGTCGGTGTAGAAGGTCCCTTGAAGGCGGAGGGTGCGGTCGGCCTCGACAAGGGTATAGAGGAGGTAGAAGGAGACGACGAGGATGTGGATTCGGCGGCGGTGGGTAGCATACTTGGCGGTGCCGGGCTGAGGCTTGGGATCGCCGGCGCGGATTGCCAGACCGTAGTAGATTGCTTGAACCCAGCCGGTGACTAGCTGTGAGGGAGGTCAGTCGTTGCGATGCTCAATATGGAGGGGTTAGTTCGTGCGGCAGGTATTACGTACGTTGGGCAAGAAGGCCCAGCCTAGAAGGGAGAGAACGTTCGACATTGTGATGATCTGCGCATCCCTTTGTGGCGGTCCAAATTTCTTGCGGGACGACGAGTAAGGAAGAAAGATCGCGAAGTTGTCGAGGGAAACCTGATCAACAGTCGATAGTTGTGATGTCAACTCGCGACCGAGCTTACTGACTTGCTGGCGTTTTCGACCAGTGTCAACTGCCAAGAGCTGACCTCATTATTTGTGGGACTCGAAGCCAGGGCCTGATCCCTGCCATATGGGGGCGGACCAGTGTCTCGCTTATGTCATCTGAACTCATCATCTCATCTACCACCTGCATGAACATTCAATTTCGCAACTTGGAGGTCATCACGTGGCTATTTGACATCCTTTGGGAAGCCCTCGTCTTACACTCTAGCTTTTATGGAATGGTCCGTTGCTTTTTAGCTTTTGTTTCTTCAATCCAGGATTTGAGCGCTGGTCACACGGACCGAGGCCCACAAACTCTTACACTCATCCCGTATCCCAAATTCGTTGATGGTGATATTGGCTTCTCGGCTGTTTTATGTAACTACACGTAATGCCAATCATCACGGCCTTTGAAGTAGACACACAGACTTCTACCTAAAATAATTCACCAATCACTTCATGCTTATTCGAGCAATGCTTGACCGCCAATTCGAATGTCAGACTGGGTGGTTTGGAGCTAAAGTACTCCGCAAAGTCTATGTAAGCAGTCCCCACGATAGAAGCGAACAGCGAGATATCGGAAAAGATGAAAGCTTTGATCGGTCATAGGACTTTTTTACCTCTTGGCGGTCTTCATTCTACCCTGATATGCGGTGGAAATATCGGCCGAATCTAGTTGACCGCCTATAATAACTCAGAAGTGAATACGGCGAACCTTCTGCCCACCCTTCAGACCTATCTATGCTCTAAGTTAAATTAGCGGAGATTTATCCGAGTAACTCGCTATCTTATACCTCATAATTCAGGAAAGGAAAAAAGCCAGTCTATGAACGATTGGCTTTTGGAGTCTGGCGGGGCGATAAAGCTTAGGGGAAAGCTTGGCACTGGCCTGTGTATCCTGCTTCGTGATCAGAAGGTTAGTTTGCCTCGGCGTAATGTCTGTGGCATCGGTACAGCATCTCTAGAAGACAGATTTAGCCTTCAAGGCTAAGGTGGGAGTCAGAGGCTAAAGTCTACGATGAGTCTGTTAAGATATTAAGACAGCCCAATTCCTGATGTCGACGATTGCTAGATAGTTTCAATTCTGCCTCGGTAATAGTCAACTTCACGTGTCACCACGAGGTTTTGTTACTCAAGGTAGGTAAAAACCTGAAATGGGGCGGGATATCACAGAGTGTCATCAAAGAATAAGATGGTGGAGCTTGCTACGGAAAAGTCCTCGAGACAGTTGTCTGTATTCATTGAGAAATCTTGTTATTGGAAACGTCAAGAAATGGGAGTAGGCCTCTGGGCAACTTGTTGCATCTGTGAACTGTGCGAATATTTCCGCCGACAACGTAGACTTGAGCCCATGCCTTGGCGCACGAAGATAGGACCAGTCACTCAGATAAGAGTGCATGAGGCCCAAACCTCCCTGCGGAATAAGCTTGATTGCAAGTCAAGATACCAATCATGAGAAATATTAGATTATATGATCACTAGCTTCTGCAAGCCCGGAAATTTGGTAAGATGTAAACATTTAGCATTAAAAAGCCTTTCAAAGGCCTTTGCAACAACGCGTGCTTATCTCAGGCCGTGAATATTGAGTTTAAGACTCATGTTTCTCAATCATGTCCCGTCCCGAGTCAATCCTCCAATAGAACCCGGCTAGCTGAAATCACTCCAACATTTCGGTCAACGCTGATGGTATCATTTCTACACCCCGTGCTTACACAGCCCCCTCTTACTTGGTATCATGATGGAATCCAAACTTAATCGCACTTCGAGCCAATAGTACCACTGGCGTCGGCACATACACCGGAGTTCTGAGCCTGGATGCAAGAGTCCTTGAACTCGTTGCCGCCAAATCCAGAGACGTACCGTGTCCGGCCGCCATCCTTAGGAGCAATAGTTGCGCAGACCTGATGACAATGTCAGAAACATGCCTTGAAATCAATTTGAGGAGATTCTGTTAGACTTACGTGCCACAGCATTGTGGTGTTAACGTTTTGCGGGTTGTCATTTTCGAAAATCTTTTGCGACGTCCGGTAAACATCGCAAGCCTTTTCTGTGAGACACTTATGAGATACGTCGTTGATAACACAGTAGCATTTGGCGTGTTCATTTGCAAGCGCACTGGTTTCGTCAGCCATGATCTAGCTGCTCAAGGTTGGGTTGCGAGCGGTGCTGACTTACACTGGAAAGGCGAGGAGCGCCAATGAGAGGCAGAAGAATAGAAGTTTCGTAAACATGTTGTTGAGTGATGTATTCAAGATTGACCACGAGAGGAGCGAGGAGAGGAACTGAAGGAGGTGAAGGTTGAGTGTGAGGCACAGTGATCGATTGCGGGAATGATGTGAGGTGAACAAGTACTGTAGGGCTGGGCCGAACTGTGGTCTAGACTAAACTTATGTACCTGCATCTGCTATTTGGAGTGGGCGCAGGCGTAATTTAGAAAATGCGGGAGAGTTCAATTACCATTTGAGTAGCTCGACACCTAGGCCAGATAAGGATGGTCCCTGACGCGTGGACCAATTCGACTTAATAAACTAAGGAAATGTCAGGATAATGGCAGCAGCTTGGCCATTGCTCTGGGGAGTTCTCCACCATGATAGGGAATGATCCGACCTGAATCATGTTCCCGTGGCATCCGCCGTTCCATGAAGCCGGGCGACTACTGCACGCCGCCTTATCATACTACCTCAATCAACAATATGCGGGTCATGAAAGACGAGACCGCCCCCAGTCGTTGGTATTCTAGCTCGGTTTCTGGAAAAAAATCTCGTATCGCGGGGTGATGTGACAGCTGAGAGCCTGAGAAGGATAAAGATAGGACGGCGTTTGCGCGAGTCAAACTAAGCGGACACTTGGGCAGAAGCTTAGTTGCGGCTCAGACAACGGCCGAGTGTTTGATATAGAAAGGCAAAATAAATTGCTTAGCCACTTAGTACGAGCAGCATTGATCAACAGATCACGGGACCTGAGCGAGACCGCTTATCACTTGAACCATACTCCGCAAATCATATTCGCGAAAACAAGCAGTTTCCCAGATCCATTCCCTGGCGACGCGTGACTAGTTGGTCAACTCCATCAATTGTCACGCGGCGATATTGGATGACACATGTTTACCTTACTCGTATTTCCCGCGCCTTCCTACCAAGCTTGAAGCAAGTCAACAAAAAGGGGGGACGCGTGGAGATGATGCCCGTGCATGCGGAGGAAGATAGTCGCGTGACAATGCGGGCAGAATGGAACAGACTTGTGAGTCGATCAAAGGCAGAAGATGGCAGGTAGAAGAGTAAGTCGGTCAAAAGTCGCAGCGGTACTAGTTGTCAACGCGAGGTTGAGGAAGCCAAAACGAGGCTACTATTTCTGACTTGTTGGATGCGTAATTGAATGAGGAAGATGTAGCACTGAGACATGATATCATTAGGAATTTGGGATATTCTGCGAGCATTACTGCACATGAAAAAACAACTCCGTCACTTGAGTAGCCGCTTCCAAGGCTCTCCAATAAGCAATCCAACGACATCTCCTCCAGCTCAATAGCCTCTAGCTAGTTTTTCACTAATTTTCGCACTGCTTGATGTTGATTCTGGATGTTGTTAGAAAAGCATCAGTCTGTGGAAAACCCAGACTTCTTACCTATAATCTATGCCGAGTTATCTTGGGTGCAGGCGTCAAGTCTTTGAGTCGTGAAGTCATGGCCTTCAAAAAGATTTGCTCCCCAGCCCTCCCATCCAGTAACGACCTGATCGCTAGGCAAAGGGTCGCAGCTGTTGGGGTTGATGCCAATGCGGAACTTGAACGGTGCGGAGTTACCGCCAAATGTGACGTTTGTCAATGCTTGGAGGTTGCCCTTTGAGTCCTTGGAGTTTTCGATGGTGCATTTCGTGCCAGCCGGGAATGTTCCACTCAAGCCGCATCTAACGACTCCTGCAGGTTCGTCCCATTTGAGCCACAGCCAGTTGGTGTCAGCCCAGTTGTCACCCCAACAGCAACTATCAGCTGCTGCGACGGCAACGTATGCTGAGGTAGCAAAAAGTTGCAGAATAGACGTAGAACGCATGATGAAAAATAAAAGGACTATTGCCAAAGGAAGTTTTTGGAGAGTTTGGTGATAGGTACGACGGCGGGGGATAGTTACGTCTATGAGTGTTGGGTGCTGTATTACTCTTATCAGACCAATGGCGCTTGGACGGGGAAGAACGTCGGACGAACGATGGAGGATGTGGGAACGGGAGGCCTGGAAGGCTGATAGCAAGAGATGGACTCAGAGTGTCTCTGGGCAGCAATTAACTAGTAAGCCTCGAAATATTCGTCGAGTAATTCGCAGCTTTGACCGGTTCCGAGGAAACACGAGGAACGTTGAGTCGTAAATTCGCGTTGGCAGTTTAACTACTTCAACTCATTTGGCTCCCAATCTACCTGGACACGCCGCGTTATCTTTAATCAAAGAAAGTTGAACGCCGATCTTATGTGTACCTGATTCATGTCAGGATAATACTTGCAAAGCCATCCTTCATCAAACCTTGTTCCTGAAGGCTGGGTCGTGGCTTTAGCGCACTTTGCGGGGAACCCGAAATCATGCGAGCACGTCCCCAAAGAGGCATCGAGCAGCGGCGGCAACTCGCCGAAGTGGATGAAGGTGCTTTTTATTTACTATGTCCTGGATTCTTGCTGTTTTCTGAAAGCTAGTGCCCAACACTATCGTCTGTCTTTCTCTTGTTCGTCCGCGTTGCAGCTCGCAACATACAATCATAATGGTTCTCTTGAACCTTGTCACTCTCTTTTCACTCGCCGTGAGCGCGTCTCCGGTTGCATCAGCCCCGCGTATTGAGGCTCAAGTGCTTGATGAACGCGCAAATCCCACCGTTGATAGTTGTTCATTCCATTCCGAAGATGGGTACGCCACATGATATTTCGCAAATTATCTATAGAATTGTGAGAATTGCTAATGTCTTTGTTACTGCTATAGCATTCAGCCGGGATGTTGGGAGACTCTCCAGATGAACAACCATCTTAACGTAGGCTCAGATATGCACTTGCGTCTGTGGCGCCCATGCTGACAATATGACTAGGACTGGTGGTCCAAGAATTCTGCCAGATGCAAGACGGCAGAGAAGGGATTTGCTGAATGTTATCTCGATTCAGCTGTATGTCACACCAGACCGCCGTATTCGAGCCCAGTTGCCACAACTAACACCAACACAGGGTTACATAACGTGGAGTTGTGACTTCATTGCTCTCAATGGATGCACGCCACCTCCGAGTGGCCGCAACGCCGATTATGCTTCCTACCAGGAGTTCTACGTAGGTTCTTTAAGCATCCAAAACATCTCAACTTTGCTAACGGAGTCTTGATAGGTCTTCTGGAATATTTACTGTGAGCGTTCGTGCCCTTAGCGGCCTGTGAAACCTGACTGATATCATCGCGCAGCCATCAACCTTTTCTTCACTAATTATCACCAAGCTCTCCTGAACGGCCAAGCAACTGCAATGTAAGTTCGTGCCGATGGTGATATAATGCCGGGGTTGTTAACTTTCCACCAATAGTGGTGCGGTCGCCGAAATCGTGAAGACTGTTTCGCCACCCAAGACCAAGAACCCCAAAACCCCTCTGTTCTCGCCTATCTATGCTGTTGCACTTGGTCAATTTGCTGTAAGTATCAGAACTCAGCCCATACAAGAAAGAGATAGTTCTGACACCACAAAAGGCTCTTGGTCCTTTGCTCGGTAGCTCTGTCGCCGCTAGTATGGTCTTTGCTTCTCTCACCGGTGCCCTCGGTGGTGGAGCTGGTCTGTTCAATATTTTGTTCCCATCCAAGCAGGTCCAGGAGGTCCCCTGGGAAGGTCTCTCAGCTGCTCTCTCAGAGAACGTCAACGAATACCAGAAGAACGTTGGCGAGGCATTGACCAAGATCCAAACCGACTTCGACACATTCTACTCTCTGGTTTCCAATGGCGGTTTCAGCCAGGTGAGAAAACACATTCCACGGCCAACGGGTACACTTGAAGTGCTTAGAATGACCGTTTCGTGGTAGAAAATGAACACCAACCTGCCTGAGAACACTGATTTCATGTACCACAACCTTTTGAAGTGGACCTTGAACCAGGCGCTGCAGCAAGCAGACTACTTTGCCGTCAAGAAGTGAGTTCACAAATCTCCTCGGAAATACCCAAATTTACTAACTAGTCTTTAGCCCTGGCGTTGATCCCCGCAAGATTCCTATCGACCCGTACGACTGCACCAACCTGGATACCTACGGCACCTGCGGCCCTATCTGGTACGATGGCAAGGATTCCTATGGCCTTGCGAGAGCAAATGGTATGTTACATGTCCACGGATCATGGTTGACGCAACTTAAACCCATACTAACATTATGTGTAGACATTGGTATGGACCAGATGAAGCCAATTCTGGACGCCGCATTCTCCAAGAACTGGACCACGCCGCATGAGCTCTACATCGACTCTCAGCAATGCCAAGGCAAGAATGGCTCCGAATCCTTCGATGTGAAGGACCTGTCACTGAGTTGTGCCGTATGTGCCCATTGCTTGAATGCCCCTTCCCTTGAGCCTTCTCGCTGACCGCAGCACGCAAATAGTCGAACATCCCCGTCTGCGAGTTCAACTTCGACTACAACCCGTACCAGTCGCTCATTGATCGCACCAACCCGCCCGAGTTCAAGAACTGCCCCAATCAGAGAGGGTACGGCACACCCATGTTTTACAGCGATGATGCCGGTGTTCCTCTTTCGTATCTTGGCCCCTTTTTGGTACGTGCCCATGCGGAATATCAACATTTCAGCCCCTTACTGAGTCATGACACTAATGATTAATTCAACAGATGTCCGGTGTCATCTATAATGAGAAGAGTGGTTGAGGTAGATTACTTTAGTCGGGATTCCTTGAGACATCATGGATCCAGGGAGTCTCCTCGAGAGTATTAGACGTAAATTGCGAATACTGCAAAATGACTCAAATGCTGGAAACGGCCGAGATAAATTGATATGTTTAATGTTTGAAGTGTTCCATCCCATTCCTGAATACTATAGTACGGCTAAGTAGAGTCGCGTAATTCGCACAGCACTCAAGTAGGAACCAGAGGTTGCCATAATTGGTCATTCGATCATCGCTTCAGGCGTGATGAAAGATTATTGTCACTCGCCAGGTGCTATGATTCTGTGACTGTCAATGCAACGGGTGAGAAAAATTTCATGCTTTATCAAGGGTAGAAGAGATCGCCATCAGCTTAAGATCGGTCAGGGCCAAATGAAGTTCAAGACATCACAGAGCGCTCTACGCGTCTAGAGGCTTAGTGAAGAGAATGATTGCAACTATTTATAAACCTCATATCAGACACAAACATAAGTACTACTAAAAGCGGAAGTTCGATAGGTGTTGTAAAACAGAGAAAGGGAGAAGGTGATTCCACTGCTAGCGATGAGTCAGTTAAAGTTGTCTCAGAGTTGCATACTGTTTCTCCGGATACATTATCTCCGAGGACAGGATTACAATTGCATCAACACTTCTATTCGTGGATTAATTACTTAGTCCATACTCAGAATACGTCCTCATTAGTCACATGAAGTAGCCCCTAAATGCAGAGAAATGTTTTTCAGTCCGGAAACAAAAAGTTTGTATGGGAGAACGTATCAAGATCGTAAACTACAAGATAGAGCTAGTCGGATTGATCCAAAGACCGAGCTAAGGCAACAATATTTTCCGTGCGGAATGCCGCCTGCCCATTGGCATAGGTGCCAGCATCATCTACTTCGGAACCCTTGACAACGTTTCCATCATTCGCAGAATCAGAAGAGGACTTTTCCTGGTTCTCTGGATTGCTGTCTTTGGTACTGCGCCCGATCAGCTCCAAGATGCAACCAGTCTCTTCTTCCTTCAAGAAAAACTGACGAAGACCGGTGGCAACATCGTAGCTAAGATCTTCCGCGGTAGTAGTCCAACCTCTGGCTCTCACTTCAGCAAAAACGGCGTCAACGTCTTCAACCTCCAATGCAACATGGTGAAGGTAAGCTCCGTCGTGACGCATCATCAGCTTGTAGAAAACCGAATCAGGGTTCAATCCTTCAGTAAGGATAACAACCCGTTTTGAATCAAAAGGAATGCCCATAACTTGCATCAGTCCATCATCACTACCGTCAGCAGCGGATCCAGTGTTAACAGTAAAAGTCCGGAGTGGAGTGAAACCCAACATCCGCTCGTGGAAAACCTTCATACGCTTAGTGTCGGGCATGATGGCAGCATAATGGTCGAGCTGGCGCGTCGATCCCGCTATGGAGTTCAGGACATTGGGGGAAGTTGAAAAGTCCTCGTTGGCTGGCTCTTCAGCTGGAGCCTGGCAGAAGCTCATCGGGTATCCAGTTTCCTCGCGCAGAACAACGAGCTCAGTTGAACCATCCTGGAGAAGTCGATCTTTGAAAGTAATCCTTTGAGCTTCGAGAACTTGACGAGCCTTGACGATGTTGTAGACAGAAAAACGAACAGAAAGCCCGATGTCTCCAGGTCCAGCGCTCTCTGGAGCTTTGACAATGCTGAGGGTTGGATCGCCGAGACCTGGGAGTCTATAAAGGCTCTCATCTTTGTTGAACCTAGCGTTGTAGACCTCCTTGACTGTTTGGGCGGCTCTTTCAACCACATGGCATGTTAAGGTCAAGTGAGCCATTCGCTTAACGCCGAGCAGATTGACTGCTCCTGTTCTGCGCCGGGTAGTCGCAAGGTCCTCGCAAGCTTCCCAAAGAGCTATGTTGCTTGCTCGATATCCGACGGTGCCGAAAGCGGCGGTGACGAACGCCTTGGTGTCATTAGCAGATGCCTCGAGGTTGGATGAAGCGTAGCCCTTCAGCGCGAGGCCGCTGCAGGCTCGCATGAAGAGGTTGGAGGTTCCTGAGTTGCTAATCCACTCTGGAAGCATCCGAATGGATGCAGAGTCAAGTTTGGACAGTGTTTCATCCCTGCTCTCAACAGGGTTGAAGATGTTATTAGCGCCGGCCAGGATAAATCGGGCGCCATGAGGCACTTCAGCGAAGGTTTTGTCGCTGAGAGTGGAGAGTGCTTTGGGTGTGAGGATGTACCGCTGGGCACAGGGAACAAAGACCTCGCCCTGGGAGGCGGCGAGGAAGTCCACAAGGTGTTCTTCGTCAGTTGAGCCAACCCTGCGCTTGGTATACAAAGCTGACGCTAGCTCGGCCTTTGTAAGACCTGCCTCTAGGCTCCGAGGATCAAGTCCTGAGACAGGATTCTTCTCGGAAGCACGCCGATAGGCTTCAATAGAGGCGCAGTCTATGCCACTGCCGTTGACTAGAAAACCGTACTGGCTGGAGACGGCAACTACCCGGCCAATGCCCAGCTGGGCAGCTGCTTGGGCGAAGGTGGAACCAACGCAACCGAAGCCCTGGAGAACCAGGCGAGCTTGCCCCATAAGCTCCGGCTTCGTGTGGGTAATGAGCTCTTTAAGGGTAGCAGCCATCACGTAGCCGACACAGAACTCGCTGAGGCCCCATCCACTGTTATCAAGCTTTTCTCCGAGGAGATCGTGAATCTCCTTGGGGTTCGAGCCGGAGTAGCCAAGTGAACGACTAAGTGCGTCGAGCGCGGTCAAAGTGCCCTGAGAGCAATAGGATCTAGCGTGTCTGTCGATGATGTCGTGGTCAGTGTTGAGGTCTCCCCCTGTGCCCCAGTACTCAGAAAGGACAGCTGCGTTGTCGCGAATGAAGCGCTCCAAGACAAGAGGGGCACGTGAGTCTTCATGAGGGAACCTGATGCCGCCCTTGGCACCAACGACCTGAGGCTGAGACGAAACAGCGAGTTTGGCACTCATAGAGCGGGCAATGTCGCGAACCTCGTTGAGGGTTGCGTCCTCATGAAGGAACAACCCTCCACCCGAGTGAGTAGGCACGGGTGAGTCGATGACTATCCAGCCTTCTGCCGGAGAAAGCTCATCTTTCCAGTGCCAGACACTGCAGCCTTGGATGACCTGATGGGGTGGCATTGAAGGAGAAGTCCCACCAACGGAAGTGCCGAGTTGAGTAGAGGCTGGGATGGAAGACATTTTGAGACAAAAATGATGTTGAATGATGTTTTGAAATTGGATCAAGTTTGGAATTTTTCTTCTTGTTGCGATGATGCTAAGAAGACGGCCAAATGTTGTCGTCAAAGGCTCAACCATTTATAGCCAAAATTTCTCTTCATCACGACTTACTTGCACGAGACTCCGGTTTGCCACAAGAGGCAGCCCGTTACTGACAACACTTTGATCTCGAAGTTGCAGGGCGGCCATGATCCATCAGGCCAACTCCTCCCTGGAAGTGAAAACATCTAGAGAGAACTCAAAGGAGCAAGGATGGTCTTGGCGGAGGAAGTAGGCTGTGACACCATTCACTGGGCAGAGAATTCAGTCGGAGGTATGAACGCAATGAGCTTTGTGGGGTCTAGAGTTATCACATGTCGGTTTTGGTATGCTGGAGGGTTCAATACAGCTTCAACAATTTGAGAACAAGTTCTAGCTTTTACATGTCGGAGACAGGATTTCGTTCTTGGATACACAGAGACCTCGTATTCGGTCTTTCTTGTCAGAGGTCAACTCATAATCGACCGGAAGCATATGGAAGCTCAAAGTGTCATTCCGAAATATGGCAGTGACAGACTGGGCCGCCGAAAATCTCGGGCAGCGTGGAACACTCCGGGACTTCCAAATTTCCTCGCCAGTATCATCGGACCTCTTCCGCTTGCATTGGGTTGGGCATCCGAGTACTATCGTACCCTGCAGGTTTGGGATGTTCACAGGAATTGTTTTTGTTGCGTATCATCAGAAGAAAATCTTGAGGTTGATGCAACATCGTCCCATTAGCTTCAGCATGGGTATAAAGTAGCGTGTTGACTCTCTCGTGGTCTCTTGCCAGAATCTAAACGGCACACAGAAACCTACTACTTTGCCTTTCAAAGCGCATGAACTTTTTCAAGCTTTTCCTCTTGAATTGAAAAACTTATTGAGTTCTTCATTTTATTCCGAGAAGTATCTCAATCACTATCACCGTCAAAATGGGATCCATCACCAACATGAAGCTCTCCTCTGAGCACGACATTGCAAAGATCTTCAACTCCTACGTTGCCGCCGGCGCTATCGGCACTGCTTGGGAACTTGGGCTACTAGACGAGGTCCGTACCCAAAAGGCTGTGGATATCGACGAGTTCGCGGCCAACCACAACCTGGATCTCGCTTCGACCCGCGCCCTGGTCTCCGCGCTCGCTACCTCTGACATCCTCCAGCGTCAGGGGGGAGCTGCCCTGCCCGGGAGGTTGCTCGAAGAGGCATACCGCACCAAAAGTCTCTTTCACTGGCTTGCTCTTGGTTCCGGCAGCTTGTTCGCGCGCATGCAATACGTCATTCGCAACGAGAATCGCGAGGGCAAATTTTACTCGCGTGATTCTGCGGCAATCGCCTACGCGTGCCGTGACGCAAACACGCAATTCATTGATCCGGTCTTCCTCGACGCCCTGAAGTCGTCTGGTGAGAACTTTACCTCCGTTGTGGACCTGGGCAGTGGGAGTGGCGAGAGGATCATGCAAGTCCTCGACCGCTATCCTGAGAGCACTGGACTCGGCATCGATATTGCCGGTCCGGCAATTGAGGTTGCTAGGTCAGATGCTGTGAAGCGTGGTTATGGTGGCCGCATCAATTTCCTAGTCGGCGATGCGCGTAAGCTCGACTATCGGGATGAGTTTGCTAAGGTTGACCTTTTGACGTCCTTCCTAATGGGGCACGACTTCTGGCCGCGGGAGAAATGTGTTAGCTCTCTACAGAGGCTGCGCAAAGCTTTCCCGAGCGTCAAACGATTTTTCATCTGCGATACGGTGCGGATCCTCACAAATGACCCCCGATCTCGCCATGCGGTACAAGAGGATGATGTGCCTATCTTCACCTTGGGTTTCGAGTTTGGTCATGCGCTGATGGATGTCAAATTGCCCACAGTGGAGGACTGGGAGGGTGTTTTCAAGGACGGTGGTTGGGTTTGTGTCAAACAGCATCACATGTTGCCTCCGTCTCTCACAGTTCTTTTCGAACTTGTGCCCCGTGACGCAGATGCAATGTAGAGCTCCGACCAACTCTATGGAATGACAAGGGAATAGACCCAAGGCATAATGCATATCTATCTACTTTAGGCGGTAGAAATAGCGTGCGAATTGAATTATTACTGGAACTGTGGAGACTAGTCAACAAGGACATCAAGATCCAAGTTGTGCAAGCATAATGTTTACTACATGTGGTGGACACGATCATAACCACTATTCAACTCGGTAGTTTGTTGGCGGAAGACATGAGCAATAGGAATGGACATGGCTAAAGTACATGTATGCAACTCGTATGAGAAAATGAGGCTGGGTACTACCTCTTGGCTGGGTGCCACCAGTACTTGATGGCCCCTGACCCGAAACCGTGTAGGAACATTTACCTTGGAGAGAGGTTCCAACGGAGAGGGTTGCTAGGTTATCGGAAGTGGGCAGTTGTTAGCTGACGTCTGACTCAGATAGGTTTCCTATATCTGCTTCCGAAAGCCCAGAGACGAGTCAGAATCTTATTCGCTATGTCAAAGGAGAAGGCCACGTGTGTTCAACGGTAGGCCCTTGTCATCCCGCCCGGACTGACAGAAGCTGAAGACTGAAGTGAGGCCCGAGTCCATGAGAAATGGGGCCAGCCCGAAGATGATTAAGCCAGGATTCGATTGATACTGTCCAAACTGTCAATATTCAACGCTCGGAGTTTCCTTCTTAGTCAAAGGATCAACTTTGATAGATGATAGCTCAGACACAGGCAAGTTGAGACGAGTGGGATGGACCCCGAAAATCCCGGTGATCCACCTCAGACACTTGTGACAGCGATACTGGAACCACCGAACTCTGAAAATGACCGACGGAGATATCGAATCAACCGGCTGCAGGCCAAGAGATGATACTAGCGCAACTCTATCTTGAGGGGATTTCCAAACTAACTCTAGCCCAGTAATGCCGGCCGGATCCCACTCCAGCTTCCCGTGGTTCTTTGCCGCACATGATGCTAGCCCGGGTCTGCCCTGACTTAACCCCGGGCCGCTCCGCCTGAACTGACAGGGCCGGACTCACCCTGTTATCACCCCGCAACTGCCTTCGACTCTAGCCACATATGAATCAGTAATGGCTTCTCAGCATAGTCATAGTATTTTGCTGCCCAAGAGGTTTAAATGCCCCTTCTCTCTTGATCCTTGTGTCTGCATCTGCCGTGGTAAGCGGCGGAGTTTCTGATCGGACCTTTTCTTTAGGCGGTGAATACAAACCTTTGCCGCGCGTTCCACGCTATCACGGCGGAGAAAACCAGACTCCGGATGCTAAGCAAATTATGACCGAATTTCAACATAGAGAACAGTATCAAGGGACTTTTCTGAATGCGGAAGGTGTAGCCGTTGCTTGAAGTTGCATTTTTAATCGCTCCAAATGTCTAGCTTGAGAATTGCATCGGGGCTAAGCTAATTAATTCGGGTGAATTGAGCTTTCAGTAGTTCGGACCCGAAGCCCGTCCGTGTAAGTGCCCCTCCTGCACTGCTGCAGACTGCTCGTAAATCTCCAAGGTTCGAGGTTCTTTATTCGGCCCGACTGGGTACTACAATATAAAGATCAAATCCACAACTTCGTGCTCCCTTGGAGTTGTAGTCTGCCAGCCACCACCTCTGCTGGCGTCGTGCTTCTTTATCTTAGGTTCATCTCGGTCTATTCAGCAAGTAAACACAAATTGAAATTGCCAACACCATCATGGTTTTCTCTTCTAGATACCAGATAGACATACCTGAAGTCGATGTTCTGTCATACGTGTTCGGTACGGTTCATGTCGCTGTGAGACGCGTTTTGTTTTTGTATTTGCTAACACAGGCTGCAGGAACGTCAGCCTTGGATGGAGATTTGCCCATCTTCGTTGATGCCGAGAAACCTGCTCAAAATCTCCGTAAGCCCGAATTGGAGACTTTCGTCAAGAGATTAGCGGGTGGCCTCCGACAAACATTGGGAATACAAAACGACGATGTTGTTCTGGCTTACACTGAGAATTCTGTGAGTAGTCCCACGGTCATGAGAGGCGGCCATCCCCTAATAATGTGTCTCATCACTCCAGGCATGGTACCCAGTTATAATCCTTGGGGCAATCTGTGCAGGTGGGATCTTCACTGGTGCCAATCCGGGGTACACGGAGGGTGGTGAGTCACAGATTCATGATGAGATACCTCGGCACGAAGCAGCGAGCACATGGGTAACCCGGACTAGAACTAACCCACCAGCTCACTGTTTCCGGCGCTAAGTGCATTTTCACGGATGCCATTCGACTCACGACCGCACTGCAAGCTGCAAGGAGTGCCGGCATACCAAAAGAATCTGTCGTGCTCATTGACAACGAGGGCCGGCCTAGGCATGATAGCTGGCGTACCATGCAAAAGCTGTTGGCTGAGCCATACTTGTGGGAGGCAATCAGCGATCCTCTAATTTTGGCGGAAAAGTGAGTTGCTGCAAGTGAACAAAAGGATGAACGCAATGCTGATCAATTTGCAAGGGTTGCAGTTCTTAACTTCAGTAGTGGGACAACGGGAAAACCCAAGGCATGCATGATCACCCACCGCAATCTTGTTGCCAATGCGGAACAGACACTTCACCTTGATCGAGTGAGCGAGTTGAGAGCAAAGGACCAAGGATCTTCAACTCACGATGTTCATTGTGCATTCCTGCCTCTTTATCATGCCAGTAAGTTGCAGCCCAGGACAATCACACACTACTGCGGCACGAAGCACTGACCACGAGCTTAGGTGGACTCATGACTTATTGCGTGGTCAATGTACGCAGATCTTGCACTACAGTCACCATGCGTAAGTTCAGTCTTGAGCTTCTGCTGAGCACAATTCAGCGGTTCCGCATCACACATCTACTCTTGGCCCCGCCGGTAGTTGTGATGCTATTGAAAAGCAATCTCCTATCCCGTTACGACGTGTCCAGCGTGAGGTCCATGTTTTGTGGAGCGGCCCCCCTGCAACCGGATCTATCCAAAAGATTGGAAGAGGTGTTCAGCGGGGGCAAAGCTCGCAGTCGACAGGGATGGGGAATGAGCGAAGCCACGATGGCAGTCACTTTGTTTGCCCCTGACGAGTTCGACCCGTTGCATAAGGGCGTTGGGTATATCCTTCCCAACATGCAGATGAAGATCGTCGATGACGATGGCCGCGAAGTTGCCTGCAATGAAGAGGGAGAAGCGCTCATTCGGGGTCCAAATGTCTTCAAGGGCTATTACAAGAATTCGAGCGCATCTGAAGAAGCGTGGACCAAAGATGGGTGGCTGAAAACTGGAGATATTGTGTCGATTCAGGAGAGTGGACTCTTGACTATTGTGGACCGCAAAAAGGTACGTGCCCATGTGTTCTGAGGCCTCTGAAGCATTTACTGACCATGCATGTTGTACGGAGTACAGGAACTCATCAAAGTGAAAGGCTTTCAGGTAGCCCCAGCCGAACTTGAGGGGCATCTCCTTGAGCATGAAGGAGTTAAGGACTGCGCCGTCATTCGCGTTACAAGGTGGGTTCATGCCTTTCCCTTCTGCCGCTTGCATTTGACTTACACGAACACGCGATTAGAGAGGGGCAAGAGCATCCACAGGCTCACGTTGTCCCCAAAGACAGCAACCTCACCGCCGAGTCGATTCTCAAATTCATGGAGAGCCGACTTTCTGCGCATAAGAGGCTTACTGGCGGAATAGTATTTACTGAGGCAATCCCCAAGTCCGCATCTGGCAAGATTCTGCGCCGCTTGCTTCAGGACCCTGCAACAGCTAGGCTAGCGCGCCTTTAGAGCCTGATTGCTTTAGACCTCATTCCATGTTTCACCACACGGCTTAGACGGTGTACCAAAAGCTATGATTACTAGATCCCTGATAGGACGTATTATGAGATTATCGTGCTTATTTCTCATTTCCGCGACTATAAATTGTGTAACTTTAGGTTCATGTCACCCTTCAAGATACAAGCCTATTGAGGTGAGTTCGCAAAGACGAGTGACACAGTCAGAAGAAGTAGCAAGACGTGCATTGAACTTTGTCCAGGAAAATGCAGCAAGCAGAAGCGTCGGACTCATTTCTTCAAGGCTTGAGTCGGTCTAAATGTCACTAAGGCTACATGTAGAGAAGTGGTAGACTGTCGTATGTTGAGTGAGATGCCCCAAGATGAACGTAACGCCTGGTCTTGCGCTTCTTTCAGTCTCGATCGACGACGATCGTCGGCCTATTAATCTTCTCTGAAGGGGTTATATCTCACACAAAGGATATGAAATGCCTCGAATTAGGAGTTTTATCGATAAAGCTCAGCCCTCGGGACCGCTCATGGCCGTCTTCGAGCGCCCGAAACTCGTCTCTGCCTCTTCCGCGACTCTTTGGCCTAAGCCCCCCAATTGGAGAAATAAAATTGGATTCTTAGAAGCAGATCTCACTACAAAAGTCAATTGTAATCCAAGTTTGTAGCTATTCGCTTTTTCGTCTCTGCTGCATATGGGTTAAATGTGGAAGTTTCGAATTGTTTGGTCACCATACCGGCCGCTTCTGCTCCGGCGAGGATCAATCGTCCGATAATGTGGGGCGCTGATCGAGAACGGCGCGGCACGGGGTCGTTGTGCCGGCCGCTGGAACCATGCTGGCCGGCCGCCGTTATGGTATTCCATTAACTTCGTCTCAGGGATAGACCTCGACCGCCACTCACAGCCGTGAAGTGGCAAATCACTTCGGCTAATAGCGACTTTCAAGTTCTTCTCAAAACTTCTTTGAGTAGTCAAAGAAGAGCAGTACTGCAGATTTGGCAAGTCGGACACTGGCCACCTAAGGTAGAGCATTGCGAATTAGCCGAGTTTGGACGCCAAAATGTAAGACGTAGTCAGTAGAAGAGCAAAGCATTTCAATGTAGCAGTTTTACCCGCATCTAGATTGCCTTGATTACAATTTGTCAATCATTTCAATCATACAAAGGGATGATTCAGCCAGAGCCTTGATGATCGACATCGTCAGCAGTAATATCCTAATGATATCTACTTTGCGCCTGAAAGAAGGATAAGGCATGGCCTCGGAGTCTCGGAAGATGAAGACAATAATTCAACGCCAAAATTTTGGCTGGAGAGCAACAAAGCAGAGCCTACTGCGCCTGGGCCGTTTCATCCCCATGCCCCCTGTACCTGCATCAATACAGAATTATTCATGGGCCTAGGCGCATTGCGATTAGTTCAGCCACCGCCTCTCATAGGTCCGTTGGTGCACCATCTGCTATAAACTCAGGTAAATCGCCCCCACCGAATCTATTGGGAAGACCCATATCCTGCAAGTGATCACAGTCTGCTCTCCATCATTCATCATTGTTGAAGCAAACTTGCCATCATACCTGGGCCCAGGGGATTTCGTCGACGGCGCGACTATAATAAGACCACATCATAGAGCCAATTTGCCCCTGCAACCCAATAGTCTGGGAATTTGCAGAATTTAAGTGCCTCGCGTCTCTCGTTTGCGCAGCAGCTCGACCGGGCATCATCTTGTGCCTACAGCGCCGTAAGCCAGAAGGAAGGGGGCGGGCGGAAAGAGCGGGACCAGCAAGGATGCTGGGCACTTTGGATGTTTGTCAGTGGTCCTTACTCAGCACGGAAGACCGGGAGCTCGACCCTGCATGCCACTCAGCCCAGTGATAATGCCAAGGGACGAGAGATCTTTGCTGAATCGAAAGGCTTTGAAAATTTCAGTCGCGGCGACTGCCGACAGCGGAAGGGTCAGCGGTGGTGGTTGAAGGTGATACCTACAAAACAAGGCAGGATGTCTACACGTACTCAGGCGCTAGGCACATCTACCAAGGCGGGAAACAAACGGTTGACCAATGCCGCACTATTTTCCACGCCAAGATCCAAACCTCTTACTATTGAGTCTACCCTGCCTGGGTCCATCTTCGTCTACGAGACAGACCAACTCATTATGATCCGACAAGCAACGATCTGCCTCTGAAATCTGTGTAAATCTTGCTCCAAAATCGTCTGAGAGCCACTTTTGCCAAATGCCTTAACCGCAGATCAGCGAAAAAGATGAGAACTGATTGATGCGCCATTCCGCATCTTGACTGCCTCATGGTTGCCGCCGCACCCTCAATGTCGCGAGCTGCCGTGAGGCGCCCATCAAGACTTGGATTCTGGAAACTCGCGTCCTGCCCGTGCCGATAAGTCGTGTTCTTGGCATTTCCCCCGGAATATGGCCTTGCGGTGTTGGTGGTATCTGGGCTATCAGAAGCTGTTCCTGAGCTAGAGCCCGATGGAGTTGTTGCCGCTGTTGCGCTGCTTGAAGCTGTCGAGGTAGGGACTATAGAGAGCAAGCTGCCATTGCCATCGGCCCCTGAATACTGTACCTGGCCGGTAAAGAGCTTCCACCTATGGGTGAAACAGTTGGCCGCCTCGGAGAGCGGAGTGAACATATCCAATGAGCAAACAAAGAAGAAGGCCAGCCGCGTGGGCCTCGACATTGCCGTGTGAAAGACGAAGACTCTGGGACGGACAAGTAGCACTGAACAGAAAGAGCAGCGAGTTTGATAAGACAAAAGCAAAGGAGTAAGCCAAAGAAAGATGGAGTGTTACATGACAAGATTTGGAGTATCGGGCTGCTGATGTGATTCATCCATCCGTACTTGAGTTCCGTCGCTATTAGCTTCCTGGGCAGATTTTGAAGCATCCTTAGCTGGGTGTCAAAAAGGATTCGCCTGTTTCCACCCATAGCTTGATTGGGAAGTAACAAAGTAGCTCAGAAAAAGACGCGGGTGTAGCTGCGCCGCCCTCTTGCTTCTGACCATGTTTGTGGCGTTGGGATGCTTTGTTGGTTACCTTGGTTTGTGACAAAGATCCATGTGGTGGACCCCCATGCCATGTCAACCGAGGCCAACAAGCACTCGTTGGGAAATTGATAGATGGTTTCTTCGCGATGAAATCCAAGAAGAATTAGTGATTCTCTGGTTTTAGTTCTCCAAGATTCGAAGTGAGGTCTATGAGACAACCGCTGCTGACAAGCGCCGATGCAACTCGGACATGGGATGGAATGCACTTTCAGCTTTCATCACTCTGTTGGTCACTCGAACTAAACTTTCTTTTGTGGCCCCCTACCCATTGATGAGGCACCCTCACGCGACTACTACGTACCTAGTCTGGCATACGTAACCAACCGTGGGGCCGGGGTTTTTGGCGCAATTTTGGAAGGTAAGTAATGTGCTCGGGCACCTCACCTTTCCCCTGGGCTTGTGAATTTACTTCCATCATTCTCATGCGACAAGCCTACTGCCAGAACATCGTTTCCCTTCATATGTCAGTCGCGATTCGCGACTAGTTGGCCAGCATGGTCGTCAAAGTTATGCCATCCTCGCGGATGACCACAGCTGTTTTCTTCGCTTGCCTGTTGTTCTTGTTTTTATACTCCTCCTACGTTCTTACTCCCTCTTATCATCCGACGTCGCCCGCCAAGCCCCCACCGGCGCAAACGCAATCGCATCCACCACAACATTCCGAAAAACCGAAGGAAGATGGCCCGACGACAGCATGGCAGAAAGAGGCTGCCTTGATCCGCGATGAAGCCGAAACCTTGATTGGCGATCCCATCCAACCTCCTTACAAGTCGAAATTCTACGACCTGGGTCAGCGGGCCAAGAAAGCCCGAGAATGGGTCAAATTTCTCGACAACGCACCCAAGTCGGAAAACATCAAGCCTACTCTAGAGAAAGTGGAAGGCGCAATCGCATCGCTGTTCCCGTTTATCCAACACTCACCAGAGCGCCCAGATAGCAAGACACCATTCTCGGACTTACGTTCGTCCATCGTCCCCGGAACGCGCGGGTTAATCATTCCGACAGGCAAGGGAACCATGCGGTACGCCCTTCACCTCATCGGCTCACTCCAGAGCGTTTTGTACAGCAACATGACAATTCAGGTTGTCTATGCCGGAGACGAGGACTTGCCGTCAGCAGACCGTGGGAAGCTGCAGTCCCGTTTCAAGGGGATCGAATTCCTGGACGTTCTCAGCGTCGTCGACGATACGACTTTGCAGCTTGTTAAGGGAGGATGGGCAATCAAAGCTTTCGCAGCTCTGTATGCGCCGTTTGAAGAGGTCATCCTCTCAGATGCGGATTCGGTTTTCGTCCAGGTCCCGGAGACGCTTTTCTTAGACCCGTCATATGAGCAGACCGGGGCACTCCTTTTCCACGATCGACTACTTTGGCAACACTCATTCGCCGACCGTCACAAGTGGTGGAAGTCGCAAATCCACGAACCTAGCGCCACGCTCAATAAGTCGCTTGTCTGGACCGAGGACTATGCTGAAGAGGGTGATTCGGGTGTCGTCGTTATTGACAAGTCGCGTCTGGACGTGTTGATGGGTCTGCTCCACGTAGCTTGGCAGAATACATATGATGTGCGTGAAGAAGTCAGCTACAAAATTACGTACGGCGACAAGGAGACTTGGTGGTTTGGACTCGAGCTCAGCGGGGCAACTTATGCCTTCGAAAAGCACTACGGCTCCATGGTTGGTTGGTTCAAGGACAAGGTCAACGACTCAATCGAGAGAATCTGCAGCTTCGTGATAGGACACGTTGATGTGCGAGACGATCTCATCTGGTACAATGGAGGGCTTTTGAAGAATAAAAAGGTTGACCCAAAAGAATTTGGGCTTCCAACTCATACACTGGTCGACGGGACGTGGGAGAAAGGTGGGGACCGAACCCAGATGAGCTGCATGGTTGGGCACAACGTCAAACCCCTGAGTAAGGATGCAGAGTGGATTTTGAATAGCTCCATCACATTGGCACAAGAGCTGGACAAGGAGTTTGGCTTCCATTAAAATGCGGCTTTGTGTCTACTTTGTCACAGCCTACGATGGGCTAACATATTGCATCATACCCCTAGAACTTTGTTTCCTGTTGTCCATTATCATAGTCATTGTTCAGAGCATCAGAATAGTAGACCATCACATAGTGTAGAATACATTTTTCTCGCATTGAATAAATCCTCTACTTCTAAGCTCCTGTCAGGTTGCAGTGATTTAAGATGCTTCTCGGATATCCTTTCTTACCGATATAGGTACTCACGTCACAACGATCTTCGATCTGATTTCTCCTTCCAAGAAGGGACTAGTCTTGAGGAACTTCATTAAGCACAACCTTTGATACAGCTTGGTTTTGAGCATGATAAAGTGTCAGGCCCCCCTTCTCTAGTCTTTAAGAACCTGAAATCCCCCCTTATTTCCTGTTCGCTGAGATGGTTCTATGCGGTCCGAGTTGCGACGACAAAATGCGTCTCAATCTCGAGATCTGTCAGTGTACGTCACGATCAACGTCACAGAAGTAAGGATGGACATCATGGTACTGGAACGAAGACACCACGTGATATATCAAGTTTCCCCGAATTCAATTATGGCGCCCGTCCATCGTCTAATCATTTGCCTATATATACCCATTATTTGATACGTTTACTAGTGTTACGGGCTAGACCCGATTAGTGGATCCGAGCCTTAGCCCGGATATTACTACGGCTTATTATACCGCTTTTATAAAGGTCCTATTTAAGCGCTTTTCTTTTATAGAACCTCCGCAGAACCTCCGCTCTAAAAACCTCTACTTTTTAGTTTAAATTCTATATATTAAAATCCCCTTAATATAGACTTATATAGGCTAAACTCTTAATATATCTAAGCTCCTCTTTTTATTTATTTTATTATTAATTATACTATATAATAAAAGTAAATATAATTATTAACGTATTACTAAGCGCTTAGTTAGTAAGAGCTATAACGTAGACCTAAGAATAGATTATTTAGGGCCTATAAGAGTTAATAGAAGTTTAGAAATAAAATAAAATAAAAAGAGTAGCGGATATAGTAAAGTAAAAGCGCGAGTATAAAAAGTCTAATAAAATCCTATAGCTACTATAAAAATAGCTTTAATAAATAAATAGACCCCCCGCGCTTTTTATTAAAAAACCCGATTTTTATAGAACCCCCGCTAGTTTAGAGGCGCCTTTTAATAACGGAGCCCTTTATAAAAAGCCTTTATTAGACCTAGCGAAGTTCTTAAATAATAAAAATAAATATAATATTTAAAAAGCCTAAATACGTAATAAGCTCGTTATTAATATATTATTTTACTATATTAATAAAGAACGGAAATATTTTATCTTTTTATACCTCGCCCCTCGGGTTTAAAAAGTAATAAACTAGTTCTATTATAAAAAAAAAAAAGATAAAAAACGAGGGTTTAACGAACTCCTCGCGTACTTTTTATAAATATATAGCGACTTTTATTAAATTAAAAACGCTTTTAACGAACTATTAATAATAACTATAAAAAAGGGTAAGAAGTTCGTAGTATTTTTACCCCGATTTAAAAAAACCCTAGTTAATGCCGGAGGCTAAAAGTAGCCCGTAGACGTTATAATTTAATATTTTATTTACGCTTTAGCTTTATAATTAAAAAAATATATAATCGCTATATTTTAAAATAAGTCGTTATATATTAGCTTTTTTTATAGTGTCTAAATAGTAATTAGTAATATAGAGGGCTACGATTTTAATTAGCGTAACCCTTAGATTTTAATATAAAAAGGATATTATATAATAAAAGAACGCGTCGATAGCGACGGAGATATAATTATAATTAGAGCTATAAAAGTTATAAAGCCCGAGTAAAAAGTAAAGCTATTAATAAAGTTAGAGACTCGGTACTACTTTAGCTATAATAAAGTTAAATATATTATAAAGAACTATAAATAAAAGTAAAAAGCCCGCGTAGTTTAAATAGTGCCCGTAGAGTACTATATAGAAGAAGTAAACTTGGATAATAATAAATATTATTTAAAAAAAGAATAGCTTTAGTATAAAATCGGGTATCGGAGTTTATAAATAAAGAATAGATAAAATAAGAGTTATTTAATTAATAACGGACTATAAGCAGGCCTTCGGCGCTGCTTATTATGAAGATTAATAAAATATATAAAACTTTAACGTTAATAGATTATAGATATAATATATATTCTATAATAGACTTTTAACTAGCCCGCCGTTTTTACCTCTTATATATAGATAGAACGAAGCGTAAACTTTATAAATTTATAGATAAGTTTACTTAAATTATAACTAAAGGGGTCGTTATTTTTAACCTCGAGATTAGTAGCTATATAAAAAAAGTATATATATATATCGTTAAAGGCCTAGATATAGATATATTTTTAAAAAACCTTAAATAGAACGGAACTACGTTATATATAATATAGCTAAACGGCGGATTTAATATAAAAAGGGTAAAGTAAAAGCGTACTTTAATAAATAAAAAGAAGGCGCTATAATATAAAAAATCTGCGAGGTATAAAGCCTAGGAGCCCCCTTTTTTATTATTTTATATTATAAAGTCGTTATAAAAAAAAAGCACTAGCCGAGCGAGTATATTGCGGGGATCTAAGTAATTAGCCTCGTTAATATTAATAAAGCTTTAAAGCCGAAGAGCGAGACCGACTATTTTTTTTAGCTATTATAATAAATAAAAGAGGAATATAGTAACCTTTTTAAGCTATTTAAAGTATACCCCCTTTTACTAGCTCGGCTAAGAATCGACTTTATAATTAACTTTAAGCGGTAGTTTAATAAATAAAAAGCGCCCCTCCCCTAGGGCCCCCTCTATTCTATATCCTATGAAGAGCTATTAATACTATATAATACTTTTAAAGACCTATTTAATAAAGGCTTTATTTAAATTAATAGCTTTTCTATTAAAGCCCCCGTTTTTTTTATTAGGAAATTAGGGGGCGGCCTGCGCTTTTATTATAATTATAAAGTATTAAATATAATTATATAGAAGGACCGCTACTCTTTATTATTAATTAATAAAACCCTTTAAAGAGTTAATTTAATAAAATAATTTATAAAACTAGATATTATAGCGGCCTTTTATAAAATTAGGGTAGCTAAAAGGTATTAAAAAAAGACCGCTTTTTAGATATAATATAGCCTTTTTAAATAAATAGTTTATTTATTTAGTTTAACCGGGGCGCCCGCTATATTTTAAAAGTATATAAACTAGACTTTAAAAGAATTCTTTAATAACTTTATTTTTATATATATAGACGATATATTAATATACTCGAACGGATTAAAAGCGGATTATAAAAAAAAAGTACGGCGGATATTACGCGCCTTTATAGTAGCGGGCTTTAATTTTAATTTAATTAAAAACAAATTCTTTATTTAAACTATAAAATACGTTAAATTTATTTTTAAAGTAAAATAAAGGATCGCGTATAACTTAGAGAAAGTATATACTATTTACGAATAGCTCGTATTTAAAATAATAAAAGGGGTTAAAAACTTTTTTAGCTTTATTAATTACTATTATGTATTTATATATAACTACTTTATTATTATTAAACCCCTTAATACCCTAACTAAAAAAGGGGCGCTATTTAAATATATAGCTAAGTAAAATGCTATTTTTAAAACGTTTAAAAAGCGTTTTATATCTACGCCCCTATTTTAAAGCTTTAACCTTAACTTAGTAATAGTTATTAAAACCGATTACTTTAAATTTACGCTTAGAAGCTCTTTTATATAAGAGGATCCGTTAAGTGTACGCTAATTAGTCGCTTTTTATTTATAAAAGCTTATATTTACTTAGTATAACTATTTAATCTATAATAAAGAGCTCCTCGCTATAATATTTTATTTAAATATATAGGACGCGGAGCTATAGAGCTCCTATAGATTTAAAGTTATTATAAATTATAAAGGGTTAAAGTATTTTATATAAAAATAAAAGCTAACCGAGCGCTAGAGCCGTTAAATAGAATAACTTTTATAATATTATTTTAAAATCGAGTACTACTTAGGCCGTTTATTAGCCGCCCTAAACGCGCTCTTTAAATATAAATAAAACGCTTTAACTAGCTAGGATAACGAGAGAAAGAGGGGAAGGATTATTTAAGCAATTCCTAACTCTACTCGGTTAGTAACTAGCGTAGTTTACTAAACTAAAACTATAAAAGTACCTAAGCTATTTAAGATTAATATTTTTATAAACGATATAGAGTTTTAATAATAATAAAACGAAATAAAAATAAAAGATAAATAATATTTTAAAATATACGAGGCGGTATTAAACGGAGCTAGGGCGCTCCCTTTTAAATTAGGCCTTAAGCTATAAATTATAGAATATAGTATTAACGTATTCTTAAAATTAATTTAGTAAAAGAGACTATAGGTCCCTAAATATAAAGACCCGGATTATAATAATAATACGTTTTAAACGGAAATAATTTAGCGCTATTATAAATCTTTAGTAACGAACTACTTTAGTAGAAATATTATTATGGCTATCCTATCTAAGTAGTTCTATTAGCTAGGCTAGTTTAGTATAATAAAGAGGTTTATTTAAAATTATAATATTTATAAAGGGAGTATTATATAGCGGTAAGCTAAACGTAGCCTTTTATAGCCTCTTATAGTACTAAAATAGATAAAAAGCGACTTAGCGATAGACTTTATTACCGACCTCCCTTTATTATTAAAAAGCGGCGCCCGGTTTTTATAAATAATAATTAATCGCTTCGTAAAGTCTATTACTTTTAAACCGATAATATTTATAAAAGTAAAGGCCTACGTAGACCGCTTTATTAACTATTACTTCCGATTTTATAAAATACCTCGGTTTATTATAAACGATCGCGGTAATAATTAAATTAATAAGTTTTAATACTAATTCTATATAAAAATAGGGATAGAGTAGTGCCTAAGTACCGCTTTTTATTTATAAACCGACGGGTTAACTAAACGATTTAATTAAAAAATCGAAGTAATTTTATAATATATAATCGTATATACTTAAAATAATTAAAAGGACTAGTTATTAACTATTTAATTAAGCTTTAATAACTAAATAGTTTTAATAATAAAGCTCTTACCTTTTTTTATAGAGTATGGGTATAACGTCGAGCCTTTAAGGATTTAAGAAAGCGTA